GTAAAGACGTCACCTATATGCCACAGTGATCCTTGCACTGGTGCTAAAAGTGATGAACTACTCAAGAGGTGGCATCACATCCAGCTTCTAATGTGTTACAGCTTTATTAGTTGTGCAATTTAAGCTTCCTCATTTCCGCATGTGTGCACATGTTGTGTGCATCTACGTGCCTTGCCTATAACCAACACTGCACTAGGGTAACTTAAAATAGTAATTTATTTACAACTATAGCAAAGATGTCAAAAACAACAGGAATACATAACAAATCCAAGAATTATTTCATGAAAAAGGCAAACAATATATACACACAAGGAAACAAAAGAGAAAACAAAATCTGTAAGGGCAAACTTAATTTTAACCTTATCTGAACAGTTGGAGGTGGCAAAATGGTTTTGTGGGTTATGAATTACTTAAGTAACCCTAGGGCAATTAGCTAAAAAGAAACACACACACACACACACACACACAAACCTCTCAACCCTTCTCTTTCACTTGCTGAATCTTCTTCTGATTTACTTTTGAGGAATATTTTCTATGGAAAGCCATACGTGACTTATAGACCCACACTTTAAAAAGGACAAACCAAAGTTATAAACTGTCTGGGCCCTATTTCACCTTCACTGTTTATTCCAGGTTGTTTTGTTTTGGTTATTTTTCTCATCTACCACACAAAATGTTGCACCAGTAATCTTTTAAGTTCCTTAAGTGCTCTAAGACAGTGTTTCCCAAACATGAGGGTGGATCAGAGTTACTTGGAGAACAAGTTAAAACACAGATTGCCAGGTCCCACCCTCAATCTCTGATTCAGGTCTCGGGTGAGACCTGAGAATCTGCATCACTATCAAGTGCCCAGGTGATGCTGATGCTGCTGGTCCCCTGGTTACACTTTGAAAATCAATGCTCTGATATACCATACCTTTTAAAATTTTGACTACTCATAATGCTTTTTCTTACATGAATCCTAGAATTTGTTAGATATAAAGAAAAGTGTTAATCCTGAGATCCCCAGAGAAAACAGTACATTATCTGACGGGTTGGAATCACAGGCCTACTTAGGTGCTATTTGTCAAAACAGTAAACAAGTTTTTCAGCAGGTAAGAACAGTGATGTTCACCATGTTCTCTTGATTATTTAACTCAAATTTGGATTGCTATTTCAGTATCAGGCAAACACTCCTATGTAGTTGAAGAACTGCAGAATCTCAGCTTTAAAATCAAAGATGGCTGAAATGTGTACTCTCATTTTCTTTTGACTCCTGGTAACTTTTACCTAACTTCTTATTTTCACTATGACAGCGTTAGAATCTACTAAAAACAAAACAGAACAACTCAAACTACTGCCATCATGTCATTTCTGACTCATAGCAACCCTCACTGGGTTTCCAAGGCTGTGAAGCTTTACGGAAGTAGATCGCCCAGTCTTCCTTCCACAGAGCTGCTGGTGGGTTTGAACTGCTGACCTTCGCATTAGGAGTCAAGTCCCTTATCCAGTACTCTCCAAACTGGTCACAAAAGAATAACTGTAGGCCAGGGTCTCCTGTCATGGAGGTGGTGACAGTCTTTGCTGATTAAATGTGTTGGGGATTTATACGGAAATGAACTTTAAGTGCTCTCAAAAACCACTTTATGCATGGGAAATTTATCTCAGCAGAATTGGAGATGCTAATAAACAAATCATTTATGAAGATAAAAGAAAAATAATAAATTTCAAGGACATGCTCATCAAAGGAGTCACCAACTGCCTCTTAACATCTCTGAAATATTACTTGCAAATTCACAAGACTGAAACGTTATCAGTATTTGCATTCGAGTCACAAAATTTAAAGCAATCATGCACTTTGCATTCCACTGCTGTATAAAATGAATTAAGAAATGGGGAAATGAAAATAATCCACTGCTTTTAATGTTTATTAGGTTTACAAAAACTGTACATTTTTTTTTTCTTAAGAAAAAGCATTAACTTAGTACTGGTATCAAATAGACTAAACATTAACAGGAAAATATTCTGATTTTTATTTTTGCACGTTATTCTCAAGTACACAATTACAATAATGTCACACATCCCTATATGATTTTCTTTTTAGGTATTTTACTTTTTTTACAAAGTGTACAGAGGGAGGGACATACAATATTTAATAGGATATTTCTACAGAACAATAACTTATATTATGTCCTTGTAAAAATCTGTACCTCTTTAAAACATTTAACTGAAACAACCATTTTTTAGCTTTGCTAATCAAAATTGTTTTAAGAGTTAAAACTAGGTTGTAACTAATGTCAGTACATAACAGTGACTACAATTTCAGTTTCTCTTTACACAGACAAATACACTTTATCATATCCACTTGACCAAACCCTTAAATACCTTTTAAAGGTTTCAATATTGTGCTTTAAAAAGAAAACAACTGTGTATGATTCCAGACTATGTAAGAGAAATATAAAGTGTGTAAAGTGTTGTGTTCTTTATCTTTCAGTTTATTTAAAAAAATATAGTTAAATGACCGATTATTTCTATTTTCTGTATTAATTTTATAAGATGTTTTAAAATTCCTAAATTTTCACTTTCACGTAAGTGTTCTCTTTTACATAACTTCAGGGAAAAATAAAAATTAAGGGAGATTTTCAAGGTTCTCTCTCACACACACACACACACACACACACACACACAAAACAGACAGAGTTCTCAAGAATACTACTGCAGGGCAATGAATCATATACTTGTAAGTGACTTTTTTTTAAAAAAAAAGCATGTTATGGTCACCAGGAGGGCAGAGCCAATCAGCTGCTGCTGTGCCCACTCTGAGTCATGGCGATCGCATGTGAGACAGTGTGGAACTGTGCTCACAGGGTTCTGAGGGCTGATTTTCAGAAGTGGATCAGGCTGTTCTTCCAAAGCACCTCTGGGTGGACTCAAACCTCCAACCTCTCAGTCAGCAGCAAGTGCATTAGCTTCGTGTTAACCACATGCACCACCCAGAGATTCCTCAAAGAGGGCGTAAGAATTCCAAAATCCATCCCTTGGCTTTGGTTGGCATTTAGGTTGGAGTTCATACCAGCCCAAAGCACTTGATGTAGAACTAGACTAAATCAATCTAGCACTTCAGAGGCTTGCCAAACACCAAATATTTAGATTTCTAACCCTATAGACATAACTCTTAAATACAACTATCGATGACAAAGGGAAAGGTAAAAGGTGAAACCTCAACAGCATGGAGGGGGTGGAGCACCATAATGAAGTGGCAAGGAAGCTATCAGGTGGGAGGAAAATTTCCAGTTTCCCTACGTGCCAGATGTATGTGTGCCAACAGCCAAAACAAGTGACGCTGAACAGTATTTTCTGCTCTCCAAGATTCATAACAACACAATTCAATTTGTTAACCACATTTTAAAAACCCAATTAACTGAATTCACCTTATGAATTTATGACTGATTCAGACAATTTGTTTTGAAAATCAATGAACAAAAGTCAACTCTCATTGAAAAACAAAGTGTGAAAGACTTGGTGATATTCCAAGTAAGGCCTCAGATTTCTGTTATGCACTTCAAACATACCTTTATCCTCTAATCAAAGACAACTTGAGTGTTAAATTTTGAAATTTTGCTGTACCATTAACTGTCTAAGAAATAACAATGTAGGCTGCAACTTGCCAAGTGCGAGTCCTCATGAGCACCCATTCTGTTACCTGGAGCTGTTGCTTCCTCTCAGTCCCCCTCACTTGGTGAGACACATAGTTCTCTCCCAGGCTTCTCTAAAAGAACAAGGGGAGCTGTGTCGGGATACACATTAGCTTTTCAGAAAAATATAAAGACATGAAGCTGAAATTGTATGAAAACGTTCTCTCTAGAATCAACTTCTATTTTTCAATTATCAAAGATAATTAAAGGAAAATACCTTTACTCTTTAAAAATACTAGTGTCCTTATTATCCTTCTAATTCTTCACCTGAGTAGTCTCTCTGAAGAGCATAATTTACAAAATGCTCTCTCATGCATCCCTGGATCTTTCACGTTAATGTAAATTTAATACTTTTCATTATAGATTTTAAACAACTACTACTTGGGGTTGTGTGTATAAATACGTAAAATAAGCAATACACACAGATACATGTAATATATATGTGTATTTATATATAATTCAGGGTACATTTACATATATAAAGTTGCAAAAGATCCTATGAGCCACGAATTACCTCTAGGAGATTCCAAAATTCATTCCTCACTAAGTCTCATTGGTAGCACACAACCATTCCAAGACAAAGCAGCACAGACAGAATAATAAAAATACAACAAGATCGAGCAAAATGTATCAATAAGGTTTTCTAAATGTTTGCTATGCTGACAAAAGATGTGAATACTCCAAAGAAAGCCAAAGGAAGTATATCTTGTCTGCTAAACAAAATGAAAATTAAACACAAACCCAGCCAGTTCTTTACTCAGTAATGCCAGGGACACAAAAGCTCAAATGGAAACTTTCATTGTCATGTGGTCTGAAAATACTAAGCCAGACAAGTAAATGACTTCCATGTTATGATTATTAGACCCGACCATAAAATCTCCCATTTATATTGGTTGATGTCTTTGATGACTTTATTGTGAGAAATTTGTGGAAAAAAATGAGTCAACATGAAGTACTCGCAGAGTTACCAATCTAAAGTTACCTTAACTTTAAGTTAAATGGTCTTAGAAGAGTACCATCAAGGTAAGCAAGGTAAATATTTAAATAAATATAAAATTTCTAAGATAGAAAAATTCAGTATAGAATCAGGGATTATTTCATTAAAAGCAACTTGCTTGTTGCCACTTTTTCTCATTTATTAAACAAACTGGATAGAATTCAGAACACACTATTGAACAAACTGTAAAAAAAGTCAACTAGAAGCAATATTTCTATTTTTACATAGCGTAAATCAATATACAGTATTATATGTGGACGAGACTGGTTGGCTTTAAAATGAATTTCTGCTTCAAGGCCAAATCTCTACAAAAGTCTGTAGAAGTATTGTTAGGGTAGCCCAACTTCTTTATGATGTCGCATTATGTGCTGGTTCTTTTCTGAAGGTCTCCGGAACCCTTTCTTGCAGTACTCACAACGGTGAGGATAGTCTTTTGTATGAATGGAAATAACGTGCCGTTTAAAGCCTGAGGCATCCGTAGTGCTATACTCACAGTACTCACACTGATACACTTTCCTGCCACTGTGTGTCTTCATATGCTTTTTAAGCTCATTTTGTTGCCGAAATCCCTTTCTACATCTCTTACACCTAAATGGAAGATCCTTTGTGTGGACTGAGAGAATATGGCGACTCAGAACAAAGGGATCTGCAATCTTAAAATCACAATGTCTACACTGGTGCATTTTTTTACCCTTGTGGGCAGCCACGTGTTTCTTGAGTTCTGAAGGCCTGTGAAAGCCCTTATCACACATGTCACACTTGTGGGGGTAGTCCTTCGTATGAACTGAAATTATGTGTCGTTTCAAATCACTTGAGTTCGAACTCTTATGGTCACAATGCAAACACTGGTGTGTTTTGCTTTCTTGGTGGATAAGAGCATGTTGCTGCACCTCTTTGGTATCTGAGAAAGTCAGAAGACAAATGTCACACTTGAATGGCATCTCTTTACTATGCTTAGTTTTTACATGAGTTTTCAAGTTAGAAGAGTCTGCAGACCTATATTCGCAGTACTGGCATTGGTACGGTTTCTCCCCAGTATGGATTCGCATGTGCTTTTTGAGCTCCGATGGGTGACGAAAACCTTTCCCGCACTCCACACAAATGTGAGGAAAGTTCTTGCTGTGGACTGCCAAAAGGTGGCGATTCAATAACCCTTGCTCAGCTGTCTCATATTCACAGAATTTACACTTGTGCATTTTGTTGGCTCCTTTTTCCTTATGCACCATTTTGTGAGTAAACAAAGCCCCAGTGTGAGAGAAATGCTTCCCACACTCATCGCATTCAATGGCCTTCTCGGCCTTGCTGGTCAGCTTGTGGCTCTCTAGGTGGTTGTGTAAACTTATCTTCTTGTTGGTAGTGTAATCACAGTCAGTACAGCGGTATTTCTTCT